CTCATTCATTATTATTATTATTATTAGTGCTGAAAATCAAACTTAGGACCTTGCAATTGTCAGGCAGGTATCCTGCCGTTGAGGTATGACCCAGCCCATCTCATGTATTATTGAATTGCTTAGTCCCAAAGCATGTGATAGGTTCTGAATAAAATATTTAAATTAATGAATTTAAGTTGACTAAATGTGTATGGTTGAAAATATAATTGTGTTTATTAATTTCAGCCGTCCTATTAAATCTTATACCACTACTGTGAGTCTTTTTTGGTGATATATAGATAAGATACTCTGGAGTTGATAACAAAAGAATGTGATAATTGACCATATACAGTAGGAGAAATAGCAAGGGATCTAAATGTACAGATCAATCTCTGACTAATTGAACTGTTCAATTATGCCATCACAGGAGGGGCTGGGGAGATGGCTCAGTAGAATAAGTGCTTGCCTGGCAAGCGTAAGGGCCTGAGTTCAATCCCCGGTTCCACCAAAAGAAAAAATCAATTATGCCATCACTTACACTTACCTGACTTTTTTTTTTTTTTTTTAAATAATTCTGGCAATGGAACTCAGGACCGTGTCTGAGAGGCAGGTGCTATGCCACTGAGCTATAGCCCTGGCCTGATTTCTCTCATATCAAATGAGTAAAAGATTTTTTGGTTTGCTTTTTTGTTTGTTTGTTTGTTTGTTTTGGTTAAGACCTACTGTTGTTTTATTTTTATGTCTATTTTGCCTGGCACTTAATATTTCCTTAGTAATGTCTTTTGAATGAATGAATGATAGGAAGTCTAATCCCACTCTAGATTTCAATGAATTTTTTTATTTTTTTATTTTTTTGTGGAACCAGGGATTGAACTCAGACCCTTGCGCTTGCCAGGCAAGTGCTTATTCTACTGAGCCATCTCCCCAGCCCCTCAATGAATCTTTGATGTTTATTATGTGTATGCCTTTCTCCTTTTTTGTTCCTAGCGACGTGTACTTTTTGTCATTAGTAACCTAACAATAGGCCCCTCATATAGTGTTTGTACATAACTTTAATTCCTTAAAGTTGGGCCATCTTATTATGTTTTAAAAAATCATTTATTTATCTGCCTATCTGTCTATCTATTTATTTTGGTACAGGGTCTCGCTGTGCAGCTCAGACTCGTAGTGATCCTCCTGTCTCACCCTCCCAGTGCTGGGATTACAGGCATGTGCCGCCATACCCGGTTTCTGAGGCTGCCATGGCATGTAGTATTGGGGATTGAACCCTGGTCCTTGTGCTTGCCAGGCAGGCACTTAGACTGCTGAGCTATCTCCCGAGACTGGGCCATCTTATTAACATCATTGAATTACTAGAGAAATGATGACATCATAATCAGGTTAAGAGAATTGATTTTGTAACCTTCAGTGACGAACTACATCTTTTATTTTTTTTTAAAAATCAGTATATTATGGGGGGGGATCTGTTTTCTTACTTGCACACTGACCGTTTTATGATCTACCTCTGGCCCTGACACAACTATTTAACATAGACTTTTTGACATTACCTCAGTTTTTAAGAATCATTCTCTAAACCTTGCGTTTTCTTAACTTTCTCTCCCAGCATTCAGATAACTTTTTCTTTCGTGTATATCCTAATTTTTGTCATCTGTGAATTCTGGTTTCTTTCGTTGCATGAACCTTTTCCTCATCTGATGCTGATGTCTATGACAAAGCCTTTTAATATGTCTTTGTTTTCCTGTTGTAAGATCCTTACTTGGCGGTGCCTCTTAATGTGTGTCTCCCTCTCCTGTCACTTACTGTTTAGTTTTATAAAACACTTGTGTTTTACTCTGAAGAATAGATTGAGGAGACATGTACTGTGAACCCAGACACATGATCTAGCTCAGCAGATTAAAGTGCCTGCAAGCAGGCACAGGGCAGGCGGTTCTATCCCCTGGCCTGCTGTGCAGGCCCCACCCCCCGGAGTGTGCTGAGCTGGCAATTGAGACTGCACGTGGTGGCACACACCTGTAATCCCAGCTCTTGGGAGGCTGTAAACAGGCGGATCATTACAAGTCCAATCTAGAAGTGAGACCCTGAACACCCTGTAGACACTTCCCTAAAATACAAAAATAAATAAATACTTGTCAAGCAGTAGAGTTACAAATGACCTGTGAGTTAAATTCAAGTGAGTGATGGTGTCATTATTCAAGATTTCACTTTTTGTCTATTCTGTTTATACTACAGCGATGTGTCCTTTTTTGGTTTTGAGAATGCATCAGTTTGACCTCTGATAATTAACAATTTGAGTGTCAGAATAACTGTATGTAGCATTTGCTGTAGCACACTGAAAATGAAGGAGCATTTAAAAAAAAAAAAGATATTAGCTGGATGTTTTTTAAATAGGAAGACCTATCATTGTTATAATTGTTAAAAACTTAAATTTTCTTTAAAGCAAAAATGATGGAGATGACAAAGGGCGATAGATTGAGGGAATGATTTAAGAATAGCTGTGCGTATGTAAGAAAGAAAGGCTTCTTCCTCCCATTGTGACCTCCCTTTGGTGAAAATGGTAAAACAAAGGCTAGCAAATTGGGAAGGAAGCAGGAAATCCTAGTTAATGACTTGTCAGTTCAACATTTAAGAGAAATGAAAATGCTTGTTTTAGATTTTAATGCTTTTTCTCCCAAAGTCTTTTTTCTTCCTTTTTTTTTTTTTAACAGAAATGATTTTTCAACCCTGAATCCTAGTAGATGTACTATTAAATAAAATTTGGAAGCCATATATTATCATGTGATTGCGTAAAGCCAAGTTTGTGGTTTAAGCGAAACCATTCTAGAATTTATTTAATCACTTCCAAAGCTAGTGTTGTCCTTTTTCTCTTCCAACACCTTTTCTTTTCCCTAAATAAGTAGAAAAATTAAAATAGCTCAAAATAACAAACCTATATAAAAATAAAGAATTCTGTCTGGTACTTGTGTTATATCTACTTACCTTAGCCCTTGTTGTTTACTTCTTGATTGAAAATATCTTAGAGGACCTTTTTGAAATAAAATTCTCACTTTATTGTATTAGGAAAACAAGCGTGGGACTAAGAACCAGAATTATGTCTAGCACAACAGCTAGGAATTTTTCCAAAAAAGATAAATTGCTTTACAAAAACGATTTTTGTTTTCAGGCTTATTGGCCTTGGTCTTTATTTTTTATCTGCTTTTATTTATATGTATTTTTGATACTATGTTATAGTTATAGAAAGTGTTAAAAAAAATCATCGTATTTAAAACAAACAAACAAACAAACAAACCAGAAAAGCCCCTTGCCCTGGGGCTATGTGAAGAAAAATGAAGCTCTCATTTCCCAGTACCCAATCATCAGCTTGAGCTGGCCTCTCCTAGGAACAGAATTTATTGAAGCAATTTATCCTGGCTAAATGTGGTATAAATCTGTGTACACGTATGTACATACAGGGTCTCTTCCATTACAGCAGTGCTGTAGCATCAGTTTCCTTCATAGTTAAACCATGTTCCTATCACATTGAAAGATGACCAAGAAGTCCCTTCTATTTTATGGGACATCCTACAATTTTAAACACCGATTAGTCCTGGAATTACTGATTAGACAACCAGAAATACTGGTTTCTAACTCTAGAGTGACTTCTCAGAGAGTAGGAGAGATGTTACTTACCTATCTTCTTCATTTTAAACATGATTTTCTGATTACTAGGTTCATTCTAGAGTGTTAATATTTTATTTCAATGCAGGCCTGACTGTGATTGACCTGACATTTTGGTTTATCTCCTAGATGAATTTGAAATTTGGTTAAAGTTCTGAATAAAATAATTCCTTTCTTATCTCCCCTTGTTGACTTCCTTTTATATACTTTTTCTCTCATGGGCAGGTTTTTGAAAATATTCTAAAGGAGTTCATTTTATTAAAAGTTGCTTTTATCCCTCTACCCCTTTTCTTTTCCACCCTTCTAAAATATTGTTTATCTTTTCAGAATATTTTTACTGTGATTTGCATTTCTTGTCCTTATTCTTCTCCATCTCTATTTTCATTCCTAGTTGGAATATGAGAATCTTTCCAACATATTCAAGTTAGAACTACTGTTCTTTGACAAAGAATTTCCATCAACATTTTCAAGAGTTTAGCATGAATAATTTTTAAAAATTATAAATTCTGTTAAATTCTTTAGAGAAATAGAAGGGATGGATGGTGATGCCTTCTAGTGCCGTGTCTCTTATTCCCCGCAGCAGCACACATCTGTTGGCTGCAGTAGAGCAGCCCAGAACTGAGAGCTGCACAAGCAGCCGGAACATGTTCACCCAGTAAACCCCCGAGAGCCGACATTTGTTTTATTGCTGCTTTTAAAAGCCCAGCCATAAATAGAATCGGGGGGGCACCGATATTTCTCCATTTGCCACGGAGACGGCTGGTGGGGGAGGGGAGGCTCCCAGGAGGGAGAGGTTTTTATTTTTATTTTTTTATTAATGAAAATCATTTCCCATTGTAGCTCAATAGGATGGGTGCTTTGTTTTCTTTGGCAATAATCTGGGATAAACGACCCTTGCCAACAGTCTCGTAGTTTATACACTAGGGAGCCAGATTATGGCCCTGTAAAATGGAGCACCCCTCCTATAATCCCTTAATTAATTAAATGACAAATTTTGGTCTTCTCTAGTTCAGAAATACGGCTTCCGCATCGAGCGTTCAGTGGATTTATTGACATAGGGAACTGTGCTGGTTGTAATTCAGCAGACTAGAGAAGTGTGTTATGTACTGTAATAGAAAAAGGAAAAATCTAGCAAACATTTGAAATTCCTTGACTATTTAAGTCTAATTTTTTCTAATTAAAAGTTTCAATTGAGGAACAATAGGTCATATGACACCTGCCTAATGAGTCTCCCCAAAGTAGTCTGTGTTTATAGCTTTGATAGATGGCATTCTTCGAACACCTGTTTCTAGGCTTGATATTTTTGAAGCACATTTTTTTGCTGCAGCGTATTTAACATAACTTTTCCCTTACCTCCCCCTCCTCAGCTCCGCTCTGCTATATGAAATATGGGAGACGACAGACCGTTTGTGTGCAATGCCCCAGGCTGTGGACAGGTATGTTTACAATATACTTTATTGTGAATGTCTCGTTGTGAATCAAAGTGGCTGTTTTATCACTAAGGCAAAGAGTTTAAAGCCGGTATTTTACGTGATCACTGGAGGTAATCAGATCAGAGGATTTGCAGTGTGTAAATCCAAGTTATGAGGAAGTGTAGGCACTCTACCATAATGAAATCTGCCTTGCTCTCTTCCATATTGTTATTCGACTGGTGTTTGTTTTCCAGCACAGTGTTGAAGAATACATGTTGCTCTCTCCCCTTCCTAATGCTATCCATCTAAATACAAAGAAGTTTAGAAATATCTTCTCCTCAACTTTCATGAATATAAAAGTCTGCTTAACATATTTGGAAAGGCAGCGATAATGCACCCATTCATTGTGAACCCCTGGCTTTATAGTCTATTTGGATTTTTTAAATTAAAAAAAGTATTTTGTTTGACTGTTGGTTCAGAGAATTATTGTTAAAAGCTAAGGCAAATATCTACAAATCCAACATAGAACCTGAGATCTCATAGCATTACAGAAACATTTCCCCTGTCTGATACTATGAAATGCATTGTTCTCCGTGTAAACTGCCATATAATTGTTGGCATATGTGTATATATGTTATGTTTTTTCATCTTATGCTTTCTTAATAAAATAATTTTGTTGAAATTGCCCTTTGTGATATGTTATTAGTTCTTTTTCCTAGACCTCCAAATACGATGTTCCACAAAGAAGGGAAAAAGAAATACAAAAAAGTTTTACCTGCCTTCATTAATTCATGTTATAACCTAAAGGGTGACTTTCTGTTCAGTTAGAAATGTCATTTGACTGTCCAGTGACACTTACTGGTGGTATGTGAAATTGCAGACTAGTTCTATTAAACATTGTAAATACTTGAACAAAAAGAAGAGTTCAATTCTGACAATCCAAGGAATTGGAGTTAAAGATTGTAATTTCCAGTAAATGGTTACTATTTCAGGTAGGACACCAAAATAGCCATTGTATTCTGCAGTATTCAGCAACCTACAGGGTATTTCCTTCCTTTTGTGTTTTTTTTTTTAATTTTTTTATTTTTATTTTATTAGAGAGAGAGAGAGAGAGAGAGAGAGAGAGAGAGGTGTGTGTGTGTGTGTGTGGCCAGCTCAGACCACCAGGGGGCGGGGCTGGCTGGCATGTGGTGCTGGGGGATTGAACCGCGGTCCCTGATGCCTTGCCAAGCTTGTTCTAAGTAGGTGCTTTAGACCACTGAGCCATCTCTCCAGCCCATCCTTTTGTGTTTTGAGACAGGGTCTTGCTATGTAGTTCAGACTGGCCTTAAACGTACATTGTGGCCCAGGCTGATCTTGAACTCACAGCAATCTGAGTGCTGGAATTACAAGTGTGCACCAACCATGCCACCCTTGTCAGAAAGTTTTGAACTTTAAACTTTTATTTTTTTACTGAGTGTTTTCCTTGTTCTTGCTGTTTCTCCCCTTTTTTCCCTCTTCCTTTCTCACCTTCTCTTTCCTTCTTCCTAATGGGGTCAGTTGGGAAGATAGGGCAAATTCCTTTCACTTTTCAAACAATTTTATTAAGTTATGTTTCTAAACATGATCTCTCCAGATTTTGTGTGTGACTCCCACAACTAAAACCTGGTACCCTTCACTTAATCTACTTGAAAAGTCTTTATTTTTCAGTTAAGGGTATTTTTCTCATACTATATATTTTTTCATTTATTACTTAAGCTACTCAACCTCTTGTATATTGTATGCTTAAACCACCCAGACACAAAGGTGTGTTTTTTTTGTTTTTGTTTTTGTTTTTGGTGGTACCGGGAATTGAACTTGGGGACCTTATACTTGCCAGGCAGGCACTTATGCTGCTGAGCTATCTCCCTGGCCCAGGACTTCTCAAAGAAACAAAAAGGATTGATAAAAGTGAGGAACATACAAGTAAAGTATCTTTTAAGCTTTCTGAGAAAGAAATATATAGATTTTGTCTCTTTAAGCTATCTTGTCAGAAAAGAGTAGTAGTCACTGAAATTTGTGAGATTTCACAAGTTTGTGGAATTTGTGTTTCCTTGTTTCTGTTTTGCCTTTTTTTATTGCTTTTTTTTCCACTAGAGGTAAGAAAATAATCAAGATATTTTACTTTGATTTCTTCTTGTATTGTTGGGTTTTGTTTACCACAGGCCTTTTCCTTCTCCCCCACCCCCCCTTTCTGAATTATGTGTTGGTATTTTGGTTAAGATTCATTATAACCTCTGGATCAGGTTCTGAAAGCCCCCCGACCCCCCAAAAAAAGTTAAGTATTGAATTTGAGGAAGTGATACTTTCTTTTTGATTGAAGATACTTAATTCATAGAGAAAAGGATAGACAACTACAACTTGAGACTTTGAAGAGAGCATGATTAATCCCTTTACCTCCTTTTCATGTCAAAACTATGTTCAGATGAGATTATAGTTTTGCAATTATATTTAGTCTCCTACCAAGTTCTTCCAATATCTGGTAACAAATAGCTGTAGAGCAGGGTCTCTAGAAGATGTACTGTTTACTTTGTTATATGAAATAGTGAAAATCTGGCAGAGATAAATTTGGTAAAATTAACTGCTCTTGGCCTGTTAGCTAACTTTCTTATATCCCTTGAGAATGGTTTCATTTTGGAGCCACTTTCAGGCCTTCAAGTTATTTGGAGTCCACTTAGCATTGACTCAAATTACTTACTGGGGAATACTAAATAAGGCTCTGTGTAAGTCCTTGTTTGGGTAATAAAGACCATGATAATTTTTGGAAGACATAGTTTAGAATCTGCTACTAGGGAAGTCTCAAAAAGCATTGGTTTCCATCAGGTAGAGAAAGAACAGAAGCAAGTAAGTGATTCTCAGCAAGCAAGCAAACAAAACTATAGGAATCTTGTATTATTTCTCACCTCACTGTCCATACTTTACCATATGTATCCCTAAATCATAAATCATCCTAAACTTTAATATTAGGGAAGGTGAAATTAAAATTTACCTAAAATAGACTAGTGGATTATGCCCTGCAATATATAATCAAAACCACCAGGCTTTAGATGGATACATAAACATGTTTTGGTTGCTAGGTCTTTAATAGCTGTTATTTTTGGATGCTGTTCATGATCCACTTCCCAACAGTAAGTCTGATGTGACACAGCTGAGTTCTAAATATGCTGCGTGTAATTTCTTTTTAAAAAGATGGCTACTGTGAAGGTTGTATTGTCTGCATTCTTATCTGAAAAGACAGGTGATAGGGTTTTTTAGCTTTCTTATTTTTATTCCCCTGTTGAGATACTTTGTTTCTCTTGAGGCCTCATCTCCCTCACTAAGAGGAATTTAGGAAAGCATTTTTCCTGCTAAAAACTCTCAATGGAATGTGGCAGCAAGGAGTTGTTAGTAGAGTGGCCTCCTGAGAATAGGTTAGTGTTGTTAAGGTAACAATGCCCCAGATACTCTATTGGCAGAGGACTAGTGGAATCATGATGTATGGGGTGTTTTTTTTTTTTTGTCTTTTTGATTTTTTTTTACAGGGTCTATGTATGCTGCTTAGTTTTTTTTTTTGTGTAGCCCAGGCTGGTCTTCAACTTGCAACAATCTTCCTGTTCTTCTTCTTCTTCTTCTTCTTCTTCTTTTTTTGTCTTTTTGATTTTTTTTTTTTTTGGCGGAACTGGGGATTGAACTATGCCCTTGTGCTTGCCAGGCAAATGCTTATTCTACTGAGCCATCTCCCCACCTCCCATGATGTATAGTTTTTAAAATGTTTCTAAGATAGCATTTTTTTAAAAAGCATTGTACTTATAAAATGGCTTTATTGGGGAGATGGCTCAGTAGAATAAGCACTTCCCTGGCAAGCGCAAGGGTCTGAGTTCAAGCCCCGGTTCCGCAAAAAAAAGAAAAAAAGAAAAAAAAATGGCTTTACTTCTATGTCATTATTAAAATAACCGAAATATAGTTTGGTGCTGAAACTGATAAGTCTTCTAAGTTGTGTTTGTTATTTGTTTATGGGGGGTCTCATTGTGTTACCCAGGCTGTTCTTAAACCCTTGGACTCAAACAATCCTTCTGCTTCAGCCTCCTGAGTGGTTGGGCTGTAGGTATGCATGAACACATCTCATTTAGTCTCATAGGTTTTTAATACTTTTCAAGGCTACTTTTATTTGAGGGTGAATTACAAAGATATTTTATGTGGAACCAGGAATACTCTATCAGTAACCTCGAATTTGAGATATTTCATGTGCATACAGTTAGATAACTTACCTTTATGTTGGTTATTCCCTACTTTTTATTACCAGGTGTCAACAAATTCCATACTCCTATACTTTCCTCTCAGACGTGATACTGATTTGCAGTACACATTATGCAAATTTAAATAGACTTTCTGGATACCATCAAGTGTTTTCAATAGAAGCTGATCATTTCAGGGCCAGCCAGATAGCTCACCGGATTAAAGCACTTGCTTAAGCAGATGCAGGGACCGGGGTTTGATCCCTAGCATGCCATGCTGGCCCTGTCCCCAAGGTGCACTGAGATGACAGTTGAGACTGGGCATGTGGTGCACCTATAACCTCTGTACTTAGGAGGCTGAAAAACAGGAGGATCACTAGGGAGTCCAGTCTGTATAGTGGAACCCTATAGACCCTGTACTAAATACATTAAAAAGAAAAAAGCTGATCAGTTTATTGGGTAGATTGTCTATTTCCCAAAGAATAAGAATACTTTTGCACTGAGGAGATACCATTTATGGAGTTAGCATCATCCCATTGTCAGCCATTGGAAAAGTTTCTATCATCAGCTCTGTCCTAATGGAAAAGGCTTTGGCTGTTTTTGTCTGTTGTAACTTTAAGGGGCTGAAGGTACTACTCTCACATCTTCTCCCAGAGGACATCTAAGTATAGGTTGAAAGTCTCTTCATTTCTCTCTGAGACATGAAACCCACAACTAACTTTCAGACCTATAAGGCCTACTTTTATTTTCAAAGCCCAAGAATAGAAATGGAGCTCTAGTTATGGTACAGAT